TGCTAAACACCACTCACATACAAGAAGACAATGAGAACACATGATGATATGTCATTATGAAATAGTGTCTCATTACACAAACAAAAAACCAATGTATAAAATAGATTTATGAAATCAAAAGGAAGAACATGAGAATCATGCAAAAAGTTTTCAAATGAAAACAAATCAACCAATAAAATCATAAATCACAAGTAAATCACATAAAACCAAATCATCATTGATTTTCAAAAATCAAGAGAGGCAACTATATCTAGCTCTTGAGCTAGTAACAACCCATAAAAACATTTTAGCATCCGGTAAACATAATTTGAGAAATAAACACCCAATAAATCCGGAGGGTTATATAAACACAAACCTCTCATCAAAAATCAAAACCAATAAAATAAAAAATAAAAGTTTTGACTTAAAATTTTTAATAAACCAAGAAATAAAAAATAAAAACATTTTAAAGATCTTGGTTTACAAATCAAAAAGGTTTTGGCACCCAACCACTATTGGTGCCGAAAAACTTAGGGACATGACCCCTATCCATAAAGCTCAAAGCCCTAGGGTTATGAACCCTCTTGGGCGCATTTGGTGCACGAACACGGTCAAAGCAAAAATTATATAAATGACCTTTCCGATTGCAATAAGTGCAATGAAAGAGGCCCATATGATTTTGTTGACCATAAACAAGTGCACGGGAACCATTTACAAAAATAGGTTGTTCTTTAAAATTATTTTGCAAACGGGAAACTCTCTTTAAATCAAAATAAAGTTTGGCCAAATGACTTAATCTACCACAATGATCACATCTATACACATGGGCATGCTTATGATGAACATGATGAGTGTGTGCATGTACATGTGAATGTGATGAAGAAACTTGATGAGATGCACAAGGAGCATTAGCATTTTTAGGTTTATGTGCATCATAGCAAAACTTAGCCAAATAGCCTTTATGACCACAAATAGAGCACTTGTAAATTTTGCTATACAAGTATGCATAGTGTGTAGATGATTTAGCACACTTGTCCATAAGTTTCTTATGGTTATCAATGCATGTGGTTAGTGCATAGTGTGTAGATGATTTAGCACACTTGTCCATAAGTTTCTTATGGTTATCAATGCATGTGGTTAGAGTTGAATCTAAAGATGAAATATGATTTTTAACAATATTCAACTCATCATTAGGCATAGAAGCATTGACAATAAAAGTAGAGCAAACATGGTCATTTTTAAATGATGTGAATTCATTTCTTATAGCCTCTACTTCTAGCATGGCATTGTTTCTTTCATGAGTTAACCTAGCAAAGTTTGAAATTAAAGAATTATGATCCAATTTTAATTTATCATTCTTTTCTTTGAGGATCACATTCTCATTTGAAATATTATGAAACTTAGAAGCTAACAACTCATGATCAGATTTCAAACTAATATGCTTGCTTTTTAAATCAACAAAATTATGGAGCAATTTCTTATAGGCATGCATTAATTTTTCATATGCACATGCGAGTTCATTAATGGATATATCACTATCGGATTCTGAATCGCTTACCACACTGGGGCTATCGCCTAGTGGCCGTGTACATGAAAATGAAGCTCCTTTTGAACTTGAAGCCGAATCCTCCAAATCTTGTCGGATTGCCTCCAAATCCCCTTGATGCGCTTCTATGAATTTCCATAATTTGTAAGCACTATCAAAATGAACAAATTTATTAGAAATGGATGAGTCAAAAGTATTAAGCAAGAATTCTAATAAAAGCTTGTTCATTGTAAACATTCTTTTATCATTTTTACACCACTTGGATTTCTCCATAGTGGTTACAATATAAGCATTTTCAATAACTTTCCATAAATCAAAATGTTTAGATCTAACAAATATATTAAATCTAGAACACCATTGGTCATAGGGGAAAGCATTGAATTTAGGAGCAACATTTATATCATAGCCTAATCTCATATCCATAATTAAAAAATAGGGGAAAGCATTGAATTTAGGAGCAACATTTATATCATAGCCTAATCTCATATCCATAATTAAAAAATGTGCAAGCAAGACAAATACAATCAAAATTAGGTTAGCACAAAAGATAACTTGGATCTTTAACTCAAGGTGATTAAACCTTAAATCAAAGAGCACCAAGCTCTGATACCAATTGAAAGCACCCTGATGCCACTAGGAAAGAACCCTAGAGGGTGGGTGAATAGGGTTTATACTAATCTAATCTAATTTATACCAAATTAAAACTTATTAACAAATATATCCTACCAAGAATGATATATTACAAATATATGTGCAAGGATATACAAGTCACACAAGGGTAAATAATCTAAACTAGATAGTGGGTAATATAAATAATAAGCAATATACAAAGGCGATATAAGATATGAACATAAAAATAAGTGCGCTAATGCAATCACAAACAAAGGATATGTTCACGGAATTCGGTCCTCACGACCCACGTCTCCGCTCCTCACCTCGAGGAGATCTCCACTATCACACCGGGTTTTCTACGCTTACCCGAAAAACATTTACACCTTATAATGTCGGTTTTCAACGCTCACCGATCAACGTTCATAATCACTCACAATGTAACTATACTAACTACCACCTCAAGTGTTGGTCTCTGGCCCGTGTCTCCCTCAAGTGTTAGGAATTACAACCTACCTCTAGGCATTACCACATACCCCACTCCTCTTGGGACGACCCCGTCTCTCACCACACACTCCTCTTGGTGTACTAGTGTAATACAAAGTGAGTCTCACAATTAGGCACTCAAATCAACAAATGATTTGTTCTCTAAACAAGGTGAGAACACAATATAAGCCCACACTCTAAGTCACAAACCCACAACCTAAATTATACTATGAATGTAAATACAATAAGCTCAATAGGTTGTGTGTGAACAAAGAGATAAATAAATCAAAACTAAACTCAATGTAAATCTAGCTTATGGAAATTAAGTTCAAACATATAAATAGCTAGAAATAGAGTTTAGAAAAACTTCTCTATAGATCAAGAGAAAGAGGGAGAAGAGTTGGATGCTCAAACACAATAGATGATCTCCACTTGCTCTTGTGAAATTCTCTTCACAAACAAAACTCTTAAACACTCTTTTAAACAAACTAAAACAAACTTTAAACCCTTGTTAAACTTGTTTAAAACATTCTTGGTTCTTAAAATAGAGCTGGGTATAAGGGGGTATTTATAGGAAACCCCAAAGATCAAGAAACCCCAGCAAAAAGATCAAAAAACCAAAACATGACAAAGGCTGAAAAAACTAGTCGTTATGCCATCAGTCGACTGACGGCTTCCATCAGTAGACTGATGAGCTGACCTTTAGAGGCATTTTTCAGCTCATCAGTCGACTGACGACCTTATCAGTCGACTGACGACCTTATCAGTCGACTGATGATCTCATCAGTCGACTGGTTAGTCGACCAAAACAAAACATAAACTTTTTGTTATTCTAGGTGTTTTCTTCAGTCGACTGAACATATTCATCAGTCGACTGATAACACTGTATCAGTCAGATTTGAATAGTAAAACTAATTTTTAAAGTGCCTTAAAAAATAGTAAATAAATTCCAAAAAATATAAAACTTTGGAAAATCATTGTAAACATGTAAATGAACATGTTACAAAAAGAATTTTTGGAATTACACTTCTCAATAGTGAAAACTCATTATTTTTCAAATATGTCCAAAAACATGAAAACTAAACATACATGTTTTTGTCATTTGACATAAACACAATATTGAAACTTTTGTAAAATAATTTTATAGACTTAATGAATTGATATAAACTGATATTAAAGTCTATAAACTAATAAAACAAGAACACAATATTTTTCCAAATATAATACAATATGAAACATATAAAAGTATATATGAAGATATATATTGTTTCATATCTATCTAGCTAAACCAAAACATATATATATATATATATATAGGGAAAAAAAACCCAATACCCAATACCCAAACCCAAAAACCCAAACCCAAAAACCAAAAACCCAAACCCAAAACCTACGTAACCCTAATTCCCATTTCTCACTTACCCGACGCCGCAAGAAATTTCCAAACACCGAACTCGTCTTCAACCTTGTCGAACTGTCTTCGTCGAAGCTCGAACTCGTTTTCAACCTCGTCTTCGATCTTCAACATCCGAGCTTCAACCTCGTCGCAGACAGGAGTTCGAAGCTTCGTCTTCAACCTCCGAGCTTCAACCTCATCTTCGAACTCGTCGGAGCTTCGTCTTCAACTTCCGAGCTTTAACCTCGTCTTTGAACTCGTCGGAGCTTCGTCTTCAACCTTCGAGCTTCGTCTTCAACCTCCGAGCTCGTCTTCAACCTACGATCTGTTCCTCGTCGAAGCCTCTCGATTCTCGAAGCTGTTGTGAGTCTGCTTCATCCCTGTAACAAGGTAAAGGATTTAATGTTATTTGCTTATTTTATTTATCATTTTACTATTTCAGACTTCAGTGATGACCTTTGATTTCAAGTTTTTTGGTTTAAAGGTTAACAACTTAACATTAATATGGTTTTGGTGTTTTTAAAATTAGAACAGACATTAAACAACGGTGTAAATGGGCAAATCAAGAAAGATTAATAACTTGAAACTTATGATGTGTTTGATGGAAATGCATAATGTAAATAACTAAGTCTGTTAAAACCTTTTTTTTAGGTCAGTTTTTGTGATGGATAGTTTTTATCTCAGTTTTAGGAATTTATTTATTGAGGAATGATGCTGGATATATAAGCAAGTGACACTGGCTACTTGTTTTATTTAGGAAATTATTTATTTATGTGTCCTAGTGTATTTCACTGTAGAATTAAATGATACTGAAATCAGTCTCTCTTTTTTATTATACAATGTAATAATACTTTAGTTTATCCCTTTATCATGATTTGATCTTATGTATATGAATGATTTGTTTGTTCATTTATTTCAGAATGTCGGGTGTTCCAGCGAAGGAGTCTACGGGTTTGAATGATTTGTTTGTTCATTTATTTCAGAATGTCGGGTGTTCCAGCGAAGGAGTCTACGGGTTCCACCACTATCCCCGTAGCCCCTGTGAAAGATAGAAGGAACTCAGGAGATATTGGTTGGGAGTTTGGATTTTGTCAAGACCCAAAAAATTTGAATATTGTGCAATGTCGACTATGTGGGCACAAGGTGAATGCGGGGATCCATCGATTTAAGAAGCATCTCGCAGGGTTGAGGTGGGACACCAAATCATGTTTTAAGATTAGTGAAAAAGATAAGCATAGGGTGAAAGAAGTTATTGATGCTAATTCGAAGAAGAAGCAAGCTAAGAAGAGGCACACTATAGACTTAGAAGAAGAACTTCATACGACGAGGCCGTGTGATGAAGAAAGAGATGAAGATGAAATCATCTCTCCTTCCACATGCGATGAATCTTCAAAGAGGTCTAGAGAGCCTACTGTTGGGCCGATGGACGCTTTCACCACTAGTGATCCAGAGCTAGCGAAAAGGTTGAAAGGGAAAATGAAGCAGACAGGAGTGAAGAATTCTTTCCTGAAGGAGAAGAGAGATTGGGTGCATGATCAGTTGGCTACTTGGGCATATGAAAATGCCATCCTTTTTCATGCCATCTCCACGTATTCTTTTATGAAGGCATGCACGACTATTGGAGACTATGGACCGAGCCATAGGCCTCCCAGCATGTACATGTTGAGGGAGCCCTTATTGCGAAGAGCTGTTGAGAGAACAAAAGTCTCCTTAAAGACGCATGAGGAGGAGTGGGGCAAGACTGGATGTTCCATTATGATTGATGCTTGGTCGGATAGAAAGATGCAGTCGGTAATGAATCTTTGCATCCACTGCAGATTGGGGACAACTTTTCATAAGTCGATTGAAATCAAAGAGGAAGCACATACAGGATAATAAATATTTGAGTGGGTTAATACGGCTATTGAGCAGATTGGAGCTGATAAAATCATTCAGGTTGTCACGGATAATGCAGCTGCAAATATGGCTGCGAATGAGCTTTTATATAGGGCGAGGCCGAGGATTTTTTGGACTAGTTGTGCAGCACACACTGTTGACCTGATGCTTGAAAGCATCGGGAAGTTGAGTTTATTCAAAGGAGCAATTGAGAAGGCGAGGACCCTTACCATCTTTATCTATAGTCGTCACAAGACTTTGTCAATAATGCGTCGCATTTGTGACAAAAGGGACATTGTGAGACCTGGAGTTACTCGTTTCGCCACTACATTTTTGACTCTGCGGAGCCTTCTTGAGAAGAAAGGGAAGTTGAGATTTATTCTTTCTGATGAAGCATGGGTGAGATGCAAGCTTGCAAAGACCACTAAAGGCGCTAAGGTGGAGGCGATTGCTATGAGTGATAGTTGGTGGACGGCGGTGGCCAAGATCTTGAAGGTGTATGCTCCTATTTTTCGATTGTTGAGGGTAGTCGATAGTGACTACAAACCATCAATGGGATTTGTGGTGGGGATGCTTGAAGATATGAAGAAGGAGATTATTCAAGTTTTCAAGAATAAGGAGAAGGATTTCAAGCCCGTGATTGATATTATAGATGGGAAGTCCAAGGATCGGCTCTTTTCTCCCTTGCATATGGCTTCTTACTACCTCAACCCTTACTATTTCTATAGGGATGATGTAGTGAAGAATTACAAAAGGGCGAAAGATGGATTTCTAGATGTGGTGGAGTTGTTTTATCCTGATGTAGAGCAATAAGTTAAAATTCATACTCAAGAGTTGAAGAGATACAGAGAAGGAAAGGGTTCATTTGCTAGGATTGGAGTGGTGAAGGCTAGAGAGAAATCAGACTTGAACCCAGGTAAAATAATTTTAGAAATTGAATCATATATGACTTATAAGTTATCTATTGTGCCATTGTGGTAGTGAATCAACTAATAATATATTATTTTTTGTAGCTAATTGGTGGTATTTGCATGGTGGTGATTGTCCCTTCATGCAAAATATGGCTATGAAACTTCTCAACTTGACAAGCAGCTCTTCTGGTTGTGAAAGGAATTGGAGCACATTTGAGAGGGTAAACTAATTTCTAAACTTATGATAAATATGAAATTCTTCTTAGTTATGTTTTTTAATTTGTGTCCTTTACTTTTGAAGATTCATACGAAGAAGAGGAATAGATTGGAATCGAAGAGGTTAGAGGAACTGGTCTATGTGAAGTTTAACTCAAAGCTCAACCAGAAGAAGAGGAGAGGAGAAAACAAGAACCTACTACTCTCTACTGATCGTAGTAAGACACAAGCATGGATCCTAGAAGGAGCAGGCTCTGATGATGAGGAAGAAGTTTATCCTGGCTCAGGTCTTACTTGGAGGATGGTAGAGGGTATATCGGGAGCGGCTGAGGCTGCGGAGAATAGGAGGAGTTCTAGGCTAGCAGGACCTTCAAATGCTTCTACTTCAGTGATAGATGATGAAGAAGAGCCTATTGTCTCGGATGATAATGTTTCAGATAAGGAGGAGGATTGTGTGGAGATGGATTCTGGAGAGGATAGCGATGATGGAGTAGAGGAAGATCTTCATGATGATGATGATGTTTGATGATGATATTAGATTAGATGCATATTGCTAATTCATTATATTAGATCTAGACTATTCCTGTTTGACTATCTTTTTGCTGATATTTTGGGACCTAAACTTCTAGTTACTGGATATTATATGCCTTGCTATTTAGTATGTATGCATCTTTGATTGACTATTACAGTTTGGATAGCATATGTGTTGGTATCTTTGTATTTATGCATTGTTGATTGAGTATATATATATATATATATATATATATATATAATCTTCAAAGTATCCTAATTAAAAAAAGAAAAAAAACCATCTAGAAACCGCTTAGGCATCCGCCTAGGCGTCTAAGCGCTGGGCGCCAGGTCCGACGCCTAGGAGCGCCCAGCATTTAATGTAACATTGATATATATACAAAAACCAAAATATGTATGTGTGTATATAATTGAGCTTAAAGTACTAACACACATAATATAAAACCTAAACTAAATTACCCAAGCTTGATGAAGGTCTTCAATAAGCTCGACTTGGTAAACTTGCGGATGAAGTTTGAACTTGGATCTTCAACTTGAATTGTATAGACTTCAACCACTATTCCGCCAACCTCCATTGGATATGATCGTGAATGCTCGATTCCATCCATTCTCCAACTTCGTTGTTTGTCTAGAATACCTAATAAAAAACACAAACACTAGACAAACAACATTAGGAATTGTTTGTAATCATCAAAACAAGATTAGAAAATGTAGGCTCATAACATGAGACCTAACAGGGAGTTGATAGTTACATTGTTGTTGAATGTTTTACTGGTTTACACCAATACTAATGTTAATTTATAGAATCTAAATTTGTTAATAAAAGTGACAACCTTCATGTAGTGAAAGATTCTACAAATGTTAAATAGTAATGTCATCTCTGCACTGTTATCCATTCAAATCAAGTCGGCAAAAAGGCTAATGGTTATTGTAGATGAATAGAGCTGTTACTCACAAATGAAAGGGAATATTGATAGAAATATATCTATGAAGGTTATGACATATATGTTAAGGTTGGGTCATACATGTTAATATTATAATGTACCTATTAAGATTATAATATATATGTGAAGGCTATGACATATATGTTAATCTTATCAAGTACCTATTAATGTTATGTCATACTTGTTAAGGTTATAGTGTACATGTTAAGGTTATGATGTACTTGTTAAAGATGTACGATAACTGTTAAAAGTAAATAATTTTTAGAGTATATTTAACTAACTCATAAATCTAACAACCATTTGTTAAAGTTAACTAGTAATCTATATAGTTAACATCAAATGGATAAACTTAATAACTAATGGCAACTAATGGATAGACTTAACACTAAATGTTCAGAATTAATATTCATTGTATAAACTTAATAGTTATGCTATAACCTTAACATCGAATGAGTAAAGTTATCATCGTCTAGTAAGATTCACTACTAATCCTTCATTGTTCACAATCAACCCATACAATTATATGCTTGTCTAGTTTTAATGTTTGCATACACACAACTACACTACGAGATCTCCATGATATTTACTTTGTACATGACCTGATACTATAATAGTCCAAGAGACCACATTTCTCTTTGTCATTTCATCAAATAATTTACAAGCAATCTCCAAAACCGCGATATATTATATATACATTTAAGTTACTACTCCAAGAAACCAAATCTTACTCATGTATTTCAATTAAAAATAAACTAGGAAAGCTCCAATCAACCACTAAGAGGTAAACTCACAAATAATCCAATCACGGGATTTGTTTGAAAAAACAGTGGGGGAGAGAGGAGGGGAGGTCGTAGGTGGTTTTGAGGAGGTGGTTTTGGCGCAAAGATTGATAATGGCATAAGCGACAATAATGAGAGGGGCAGGGTGTTCGACAAAGGAGATGATAGCCCCGACCATCATGCAGGAGAGTTTAGAGGAGGAGAGGGTATGGTTGAGGGAAGAGAAGATGACGACAAGCTTAGAGGAGGAGATTTTGTCGTTGTCATTGGAGTTAAAATTGTTAAGGATGTGCTCGAGGTCAGTGATAGTGGAGGGGATAGTGGGAGAGGGAGACAATGGCGTTGGAGGGTGCGCTCGAGTTGTGACGTCCTTGTTTTCACACATGACTGTAGTCCAAGGTGAACCCAGAGATGTTAAACCTGCCATGCACCCACACTGTGCAATAACACGTTTCACTATTCACAGTAATATCCTCTAGTGGAATCAAAAGAAGTGTAGGTACAAAAACATACAAAATAAAGAAATGAATGTAATAGACATGATATGGAAAGTGATATCTCATAAATAAAAATCATGTCTCAAATAAAATATATCTGATATATGGAATAAAAAAATATCTCAACATGAATCAACTAGAAATCGTACTAAGGCACACTACCCACACAAAATGAAAATAAAACTCTAAAGTTTGAATGAAATTATAGAAAAATCTATTGTGGAGCTTCTACTAATAACTCATGAGACGACGACTATGTAAGAACCCCGTCATCCTGTGGCTCTCCGAACCTCTATATTGCCTGAAAGAAGAGAAAATAAAAAGAGAACCGCATAAAGAGTGTTAGAGTACTATAGCAAGATCACCTACATCCGCCCACAGGAGAAGGGCTACTAGATGGAGTGGAGGTTCTATCTATTAAGCATAGTCTATCTAGATCATTTTTCCTGTATCTAAGTAGAATTAACATTTAGAAACCTACAATATGAGACGTAGTACGTCGAGCGAAATAATCTAAACAAGAAAATCTTCATGTATATACCATTGTCTTAAATTATAGATATCTAAACATTAATACCGAACTAAGAATAAACAACCTATATATCAACAATTAGAAACCCACAACACAAGACTGGTACATCGAGCGAAATAATCCAAATAAAAAAACCCTCATGTATATACCATATGTCTTAAATTGTGAATCGCTAATCATTGATCCCAACTAAGACATAAAGAAAGCAATAAAGGAAATAAAAACATCAATACATCATATTTATAATATCTTCCATTGTCATTAGAAAGATAGAATAAATACAAACATATAATCTCATATACTTTTAAGAGACCAGTATCTTGGTCCTATAGCTCAAAAATATGTCATATTCATAACTGACATCCGCCCAATGACTTAGGCTATCAATCAATAATCTCAGAGCAACAGACCATCCTGTAAGTGTCCTAAATAGTGTACATGAATCATTAGTCTCAACGTGATCTCAATACGTAGCTTGCGTGCGGGACGGCCTACCATATAGGTATCCAAATAGATGGCCTCAAAAGCCTCATAATTATACGGCTCACAAGCCTCATCGCACACTCATGCGGACGGACTGCTATACAAAGCATCCAAACTCGACTCAATGGCCTGTACATGTGGAATATCGACACACTACCTCATGTAGTACTAATCTGAGCTCATCGACGATATCCATCTCATATATAAACTGTGTATATCTGGTATATCGAGGCACTATCCCATATAGTACTGAGTTGTGCTCATCAACGATATCCAACGAGTGTATGAACATTCTCTAACTCTATTATAAACAACCCAATTCTTATCAAAAACCCCTTTAGGATACTCATGTGTGTGCAATGCCATTGTACTTGTGTATTCATGTAATTACATGTGAGGAAGTGCGGCTCGAACCCTATAAACACATCTCAAACAAATACAAAACAAAACTCAGGAAATCAAGCCTTAGTAGTCGACTAATATGTTGATTAGTCGAGTACTCTAAGTTCATCCCAAACCTGGAAAATCGAACTAAGTGTGAGTAGTTGACTACTATGATCATTAGTCGACTACTATGCTATGAAACAGTCTCTATGAATCAAAACTGAGACAGTGTAGCTGACTACTATGCTTAGTAGTCGACTAAACTGCATCAACATGAAAACTGACAATGCGCAAATAGAAAATTAACCAAAGAACATACACATATGCAATGTTAAACGAGATTAAAAACATTATGTATACTTTTAAAGAGTCTAACTTGAATATGAAATATAGTATTAGCTTAATCTAATTAGGGTTAACCTCTTTGTTAAACAAATTCTTCAATTACTCATATATAAACAATATGATTACGAAAGATGATAGAATCTACACATGACAGAGATATATTTCGTTTTAAGTCTGATTACAAGTCTAGGTATCACAACCCTAGGTTTTAACATGATTAGATTATAAGAAAAACTCACATAATTAACAAATCTAGGGTTTTCACATGGGTTAAACTTAATTAAACAAGGTAAAAACAAAACTAACATTAACCCTAATAATTATGATCATATTTCTATAAACAGCAAAGAAACATCAGATCCATCAAGGGTTAAAGATCTATTATCAAAAACCTACCTTTTATCACATGAAAATAAGCATAAACAAGCGAAACATTCAATTAAACTCATTAAATCTTTAAATTATTAAGGGTGCAGGTTTGGATAAAGATGATCTTGCCTCAGAGTGCTATTGAACTCCTCAACCACGTGTATGCAAGATTCTTCTTCAACCATGATCACCAAACCCCACCTTCCTTTCGATAACGCCTCAAAGCTATCTTAGAATTCACAAACTAAGGCTAGGGTTTAAGGAGGAAGGTGACTGCTGTAAAACTTACGTGAAGAGGGTAAAAAGTGCTGTAAAACGAGTATATATACGCACATATACAGCTGGGGTTCAAAACAAAACGAATCCGACCCGAAATCTGACAGAAAACTTAAAACAGTCCGATTAGTCGACTAATGCCTTCATTAGTCAACTAACGACCTTACTAGTTGACTACTCTGAGTAGTAGTTGACTATTAACAACTCAGATTCAGGTTTGTGCATGATTTCGTACATGATTCTTATCTATACTTATATATATACATTGGATTAATCTCAAATCAATCCCTAGCATACTTAAACATCAAAATATGTTATTTATAACCATATAATATACTTAATACTATTTTTCATAATTTATTCAAACTTTTAGGGTTTTACATTCTCCCCCTTAAAAGAATTTCGTCCCCGAACTTTCGTAATCGTATCTTAGGGATTAATAATATGAGAAAAGCACCAAGAGGGGATAATTTAGACAAGGAAACCCTCCCGTACACATCTCGTACCATTAATCCCCAGATATGAAATACAATAATATCTACACTTAACCATCTCGAATGTGAATACTCCCACTTAACTCCTAACTAAGCGGAACTAGTACGTCAGGCGAAAAATCCAAACAAGGAACTCCTCACATATATACCATGTATTCTGAATGATTAGGAGCTAGGTGTTAGTACCCCATTCTAGCGTCAAATATAAATATGACCATATAACCAAATCGTAAACAAAAGCAAATCATAATCAGTTAATCAATTTACCTGCTCAAACAGGTGCGGGTAGTCGTGACGCATATCCTCTTCGCGCTCCCAGGAAGCCTCCTCAGCTCCTTTCTGGTTCCATTGAACTATGACTAGAGGAATCACTTTGTTTCTAAGTCTCTTGTCCTCCTTGGCAAGAATACACATAGGAATTTTAATAGTAGTCAAATCATCATGAATTTTAATCTCTGACGCGTCTAACACTCGCTGCTGCTCCTCATTGTATAGATGCTTTTTAAGCATCGAAACATGAAAGACGTCGTGTATACTCGACATCGATACTGGAAGATCTAGCCGATATGAAATAGTTTCAATGCGCTCCACTATCCTGAACGGACCAATGTACCTCGAGACAAGCTTTCCCCATCTACCAAATCGCTGAACTCCTTCATTAGTGCCACTTTTAATAATACATAGTCCCCAACCTAGAACTCTAGCGGTCGTCATCTCTGATCTGCATAACTCTTCTGATGACTCTGCGCTAAAAGAATGCGCTCCCGAATTTTTGCTACCTTCTCTTTGGCGTGTCTCACTAGCTCCGGTCCAAGCAATAGGTTGTTATCTAGCTCTGCCCAATAAATAGGCGATCTACAAGGCCTCTCATACAATGCCTCATACGGTGACATACCAATAGTCGCTTGATAACTGTTGTTATAAATAAACTCAATCAGTGGAATGTGGTCCTCCTAGCTGCCTAGGAAATCTATATCACAAGCTCGTAACATGTCCTCTAACACTTGGTTGACTCTCTTCATTTATCTATCTATCTGCAGGTGGAAGACATTAGAATATGACAACTGGCTACCGAAAGAATTCTGTAAGCTCCTCTAAAAATATAAGGTAAAAACTGAGACTCGGTCTGATACAATCATCTATGGAACTCCATGCAATCTCACGATCTCCTAGATAAATATCCTCGTATAAGTCTCCGATGTATAGGTTGTCTTTATTGGTATAAAATGTGCAGACTTCGTCAACCGATCAACTATCACCCAAACTAAATCGTTCCCCTTCTTTGATCTTGGCAATCCTACAATAAAGTCTATAGAAATATCTGCCCGCTTCCACTCCGGAATGGCTAAAGGTTATAGGGTTCTTGTTGGTCTCTGATACTCTGTCTTTACTTGATGGCAGGTAAAACACCTAGCTACATATTCTGCAATCTCCCTACGCATACCGCTCCATCAAAAATGTCTCTTCAGGTCCTTGTACATTTTAGTTGTGTCTGGATGCACTATGTACCTGGTGCGATGCGCCTCATCAAATAAGTCTTTCTTCAATTATGGACTATTCGACATCACCAATCAACCCTTCATTCGAAGTCCTCCATCTACTCCAATGGTCCAATCATCTTTTGGTTCTTTGGAAATCTCTCCCTTTCGGGTTTGAATCCAAGAGTCCTCTAGCTGAGCTCTGACCACTCTATCACTCCAAGATGGCTGCACTGACAAAGCTCCCAAAAATGCACTACTCCCATCAATCTCTGGTCTATAGTCAAACTAACTAAGGATGTGAAGGTCTTGATACAATGAGCACCTCAAAGCCCGCAATCCGATGCCGACGCTTCCTGCTTAACGTGTCTGCTACTACGTTCGCCTTTCTCGAATGATACTGAAGCGCGAACTCATAATCTTTAATAAACTTAACCCATCGTCGTTGTCTCTAATTTAACTTTTTCTGAGGGAAGAGGTACTTCAGACTCTGGTGATCTGTGAACATTTCGAATTGCACTCCATACAAATAATGTCTTTATGTCTTCAGTGCGAAGACTACTGCTGCCAACTCCAAATCATGTATGGGATAATTTTGCTCATGAGTCCTTAACTGCCTCGAAATGTAGGCCACCACTCTCTGGGTCTACATCAAAACATCTCTAAGACCCGATAATGATGCATCCATGTAAACAACAAAAGTCTTATCACTACTCAGAATAATCAACACTGGCGATGTAGTCAACTTCGCCTTCAAAGTCTCAAAGGCCTCTTGGCATTTCGTGCCCCAAACAAGCTGTGCACCCTTCTTTGTAAGGCGTGTAAGTGACGTCGTAATCTTTGAAAAGTCCTGAATGAACTTTCTGTAATATCTGACCAAACCTAAGAAACTACGGATCTCTGAAACCGTCTTCGGCGGCTCCCAATCAACTACTGCCTCTACTTTTGCGGGATCCACTACAATGTCCTCTCTGTTGATGATGTGACCCAAAAATCTAACCTCAGATAGCCAAAACTCATATTTGCTAAACTTTACATATAACTGGTGCTCTCGCATAGTATGCAAAGCCAACCGAAGATGTTGCTCATGCTCTGCTTGCGATCTTAAATATATAAGGATATCGTCAATAAAAACAATCACGAACTGGTCCAAGTATTGACGGAAAACCTAGTTCATCAAATCCATAAATACTATGAGTGTATTAGTCAGCCCAAATGGCATGACAAGGAACTTGAAGGACCTATATCGAGTCAGAAAAGCGGTCTTGGGAATATTCATCTCTCGAACTCACAATAGATGATAGCCAGAATAAAGATCAATCTTCGAGAAATGTTGTACTCCCTATAGCTAGTCGAACAAGTCATCAATCCTTGGTTGTGGATACCTATTCTGGATAGTGACCTTGTTCAAGTCATGATAATCTATACAAAGGTGCATATTGCCGTCCTTCTTCACAAAAAGGACTAGCGCTCCTACAGAGATTGACTCCGGCGAATGAAACCCTGAGATAACAACTCATCTAACTGGATCTGGAGCTCTCTCATCTCAGCAGGTGCCATATGATAAGGTGCTCGAGATATCAGTGTTGTGCCCGGCTGCAACTCTATACAAAACTCGACCTCTCTTACTGGAGGTAAACTTGGTATGTCCTGTAAGACATCCTGATACTCTGAGACCACTCGTGTCTCACTCAAATCGACACCCTGATCCCGCATTATCACCTCCTCGATGTATGCCAGATATGACTCCGCAAACTGGTTGCCCCGTGAGGTCTCTACCACTAACTCATATCCATCAAATGCTCACAAGCTAACCGTCTTCACAAAAATAGTCGATACTCACATGGTAGGAATATAGCCCATCCATACCGAGAATAACGTCGAACTCCAACATCCACAAAACAATCAAATTGATGATGAACTCGGACTCATCACTGATGATACATCTCCTACAGATACTCTCCAATAGGGATACCTCTCTTAAAGGAGTAGAGACAGGTAACGTAATGTCTAAGGAATGTGCAACTAGTTGAAGCATACCCATGAAGGTATGAGAGATAAAGGAATGTGAAGCTCCTAAATCGAACAAGATTTGAGCAGGAAACAGATTCACTAAGAAAGTACCTTCCACTATAGCTCCACTCGCACCATGGTCGCGTGGTACGACTGTATAAACTCTGCCGGTGGCTGGCGACTGCTAAACTGCTGAATGGCGAACATATGAGACTATCCCTCAAAAATCTCCTGAATGGCATGAATCTGGCATGCTGGCCTCCTAATCCTCAGAATGGCATGTGGCGCCTCTATCCTTTGCTGCTGGCCATAACCGTAGCCCTACTGCTACTGACCCTGACCATGATTCTGTTGTTGCACGTGTCCTCTTCCTTGCTGCTGGCCCTGGCCTCTGCCCTGCTAGCCTCCTGCTGGTGTACTATGATAATCCTTCACTCTATGTCCGATCTTGTTATAATTGCAACATGTACGCTGAATTCTACGCTGCTGCAATGCTCTCGAATCATGTTGTAGGTTGTACTCTCTTCTTATGCTGTCCTTGTTGCTGGCGGTAAAAAATCCTTACCCCTCTATTGGGGTTCTCTAGATTCCGCAATAGATGATTTCATAATTAACTACATGCATATCTCCCTGCTTTAATCGGACTAGCTCTACTGCTTGTCAAAGAAGCAAACAAAATTCTCATAAATAAGTGGTATTCGCTACTCTAATGAAAATCTAAAGTTGGTGCCATCCTCCGGTGCTATTCTCTAGTGATATCCTCTATGCTGAATACACCTAACTCTGCTTTAGTACCGAGTCGAAGTTAAATTCTTTTTTACATATTTCTTCCATTTATAGGCTTAATATGAATCTGCTGTGCCCTAAAACTATGAAGCTCTCAGTGTCTGATGTCTTTATTATTCTTACAGAGCTAAGCCTACTACTCTGTGGCTCTATCAACAGCTGGTTGTTATGATGGTGAAATTATTAGTATTGCCTCTTCAATAGGCACGACTGGTACAACTGGTGGTGGAACTCTAAAAAATGTAATATGGCTCGTTACTTGCTCCTCGAGTGTTGCTAGTATCTGTTTCTGCAATTAGCATTACCGAGTCGATCAGATACTGTGGAACCTACTTTAGCTTGGGCTCTGTTTGCCCAGCTCTCTTGGTACGAGTTTTAACTCAACCGCATCCTCGTCCTGACATTTTTAATATCAAGAGGAGAGCTTAGTAGACATAGTAAATGAGGTCGAAAACATATATACATAACATAACGTATCACATAGTATTCACACAAATACTTTTCAATCAAAGTAAGGTAGTCATAAAAAAATTTGTAATTTTTGAGGTATACGTATTATGTCCTCACTCATTCTAGGAATTCCTAGTGGACTCTATACATGAATCCTAAGAAACTCTATCCTAGCTCCACGACTCGACACAGGATGATCCTAAGGATGCTGGAACTAGACTCTGATACCAACTGTGACGCCATTGTTTTCATACATAGCTATAGTCCAAGGTGAACCCAGAGATGTCAAACCTACCATGTACCCAAACTGTGTAATAACATGTTTCACCATTCACAGTAATATCCTCTAGTAGAATCAAAAGAAGTGTAGATAAAAAAACAGGCAAAAAAAAAAAGAAGAAATGAATGTAATAGACATGATATGAAAAGTGATATCTCATAAATAAAAATCATATCTCAACTGAAATACATCTGATATATAGAATAAAGAAAATGTCTCAATATGAATCAACTAGAAATCGTACTAAGGCACACTGCCTTCACAAAATGAAAATAAAACTCTAAAGTCTGAATGAAATCATAAAAAAATCTATTATGGAGCTTCTACTAATAACTCATGAGATGACGACTATGCAAAAACTCCGTCATCCTACGGTTCTCTGAACCTCTGTATTGCCTGAAAGAGGAGAAAACAACAAAAAGAACCACATAAAGAGTGTCAGAGCGTTACAGCAAGATCACATCCATCCGCCCCTAGAGGAAGGGCTACTAGATGGAATGGAGGCTCTATCTATTAAATATAGTCTACCTAGATTATTTTTCCTGTATATAAATGGAATTAACATTTAGAAACTTACAATCCAAGATGTAGTACATCGAGCGAAATAATCCAAACAAGAAAACCCTCATGTATATACTATTGTCTCAAATTATCAATATCTAAATATTAATACCGAACTAAGAATAAGCAACCTATATGAAATCAACAATTAGAAACCCACAACACGAGACTGGTACGTCGAGCGAAATAATCCAAACAAAAAACCCTCATGTATATACCATATATCTCAAATTGTGAATCACTAATCATTGATCCCAATTAAGACATAAAGAAAGTAATAAAGGAAATAAAAATATTAATACATCGTATTTATAATATCTTCCACTGTCACTGGGAAGATAGAATAAATACCAACATATAATTACATATACTATCAAGAGACCAGTATCACGGTCTTATAGCTAAAAAATATGTTGTATTCATAACTGACATCCACCCAATGACTTAGGCTATCAATCAATAATCTTAGAGTAACGGACCATCCTGTAAGTGTCCTAAATAGTGTACACGGCTCATTAGTCTTAGCACGATCTTAGCATGTAGCCTGAGTGCAGGACGGCCTACATATAGGCGTCCAAATAGATGGCCTCACAATCCTTATAATTATACGGCTCATAAGCCTCATCGCACACTCATGCGGACGGACTACTATACAAAGCATCCAAATCCGACTCATGGCCTGTACATGTGGAATATCGACACACTACCTCATATAGTACTGAATTGAGCTCATCAACGATATCCATCTCATGTGTAAACTATGTATATCTGGTATATCGACGCACTATCCCATATAGTACTGAGTTGTGCTCATCAACGATATCCAACGAGTGTATGAACAATCTCTAACTCTATTACAAACAACCCAATTCTTGTCAAAACCCCTTTTGGGATACTCTTGTGTATGCACTGCTATTGTACTTGTGTATTCGTGTAATTACATGTGAGGAAGTGCGGTTCGAACCCCATAAGCACATCTCAAACAAATACACAACAAAACTCAGGAAATCAAGCCTTAGTAGTCAACGAATATGCTGATTAGTCGACTACTCTGAGTTCATCCAGAGCCTGGAAAATCGAACTAAGTGTGAGTAGTTGACTACTATGATCATTAGTCGACTATGCTATGAAATAGGCTCTGTGAATCAAAACTGAGACAGTGTAGCTGACTACAATGCTTAGTAGTCAATTAAACTGTATCAACATGAAAACTGACAATGCGCAAATAGAAAATTAACCAAAGAACATACACATATGCAATACTAAATAAGATTAAAAACATTATGTATATTTTTAAAGAGTCTAACTTGAACATGAAACATAGAATTAGCTTAATCTAATTAGGGTTAACCTCTTTGTTAAACAAATTCTTCAATTACTCATATATAACCAACATGATTATGAAAGCATGATAGAATCAACACATGACAGAGATATATTTTGTTTTAAGTTTGATTACAAGTCTAGGTATCATAACCCTAGGTTTTAGCATGATTAGCTTACAAGAAAAACTCAATTAATTAAAAAACCTAGGGTTTTTACATGGGTTAAACTTAATTAAACAAGGTAAAAATGAAATTAACATGAACCCTAATGATCATAAATCATATTTCTAATATAAACAGCAAAGAAACATTAGATCCATCAAGGGTTAAAGATCTATTATCAAAAACCTACCTTTTATCACATGAAAATAAGCATAAACAATCCATCAAGGGTTAAAGATCTATTATCAAAAACCTACCTTTTATCACATGAAAATAAGCATAAACATGCTAAACATTGAATTAAACTCATTAAAATCAAAAACCTACCTTTTATCACATGAAAATAAGCATAAACATGCTAAACATTGAATTAAACTCATTAAAATTTTAAATTAATAAGGGTGAAAGTTTGGATGAAGATAATCTTATTTCAGAGTGTTGTTGAACTCCTCAACCACGTGTATGTAAGATTCTTCTTCAACCACGATCACCAAACCCTACCTTCCTCTTGACAACGCCTCAAAACTCTCCCAAAATTCACAAACTAAGGCAAGGATTTGGGGAGGAAGGTGGCTACTGTAAAACTCACATGAAAGAGGGTAAAAAGAGCTTTAAAACGAGTATATATACGCACATATATAGCTGGGTTCGAAATAAATTGAATCCGACCCGAAATCTGAAAGGCCCTAGAGGGGGGGGGGTGAATAGGGTTTATGGATGAATAAAAATGCAATTAAAACTAATTCCAACAAGCCACACACAAAAAGAAGTGTCTCCACGAGATCAAGCTCACAACAGTCACAATTAGAAGAAAAGCTCTCTCTTTACAGTAGGCCTATGGCAAGAAGAGAGATTGGAGTTGAAGCTTGGGATGTGAACTCAGAACCAGTGAGAGCAAATGAAAGTTAAGGCTCTTTGAAAACAATAAACTTAAACTCAAGTAATTTGCAATGAAAGCTTGGTAACTAAGGTAGGTGGGGTTGTTGGGAATTTATAAGGAGAGAATACTACAGATAAAATCCCAAGAAACCAGACACAATCCTGAGAAAAACGGATTTCTAAAACAGTACAAATATAGCCATTACAGTGTTATGAGTCAACTCGTACTTTTCATGAGTCGACTCATAAGTAGCCGTTAC